TTTTGAGAACTGCTAAGGACCAGATGATGTTTATTATGTCCTGATACGTAAAACCATAGAATTCAAAGAGGGTGTAGTTTCTTTTTCACATGACTGTAGATACTGAAGTAGTTGTGTACAGAGGCTTCTTGTTACAAAACAACTGTGAGTGATGAATGATGTACAGTTTAACTGTGGTTAAAGATGAATAAAATAGTTACAAGCTAACTACAATGCACTATAAACAAAATGGGGTTGTTTTAGTGTTATTCAATTCAAAGCCAGACAATAGACATAATAAAGGCTTAAATCAACTCTACTCTAACTCTTTTATGTACAAGATGTATAGTCCTTTAATTACCATCCAAATGTTTGGGGTTGATTTACGTTTAATATTTAAAATACTTCATTACAGAAAGAGCTTAAATCTAAAATAAATAGTGATTAAAGGAAGGCCAACCTAGAAAAACATTCTACAAACTCTAGAGCCTGTTTAAATGCAACTAGAAAGACATGTCCTGAATACTGACTCTGTTAACAGATAGCCACGTTTGTCAATACTCATTGGTTTTCAGCCCTATTATGTCCCTTTAACCTGGATAACTAGGCATTGTTGGTCACTTTATTTTTCTTGCAAAATTTGACCAGGGAAGCCCCACCAATGGCACCCAAAGGTACCCAGGAGCTGCTCAAAATTGGAGATCCTTATTATTTTCACAGGAGCTACCAATAATGGATCAGTACTGAATCAATTATTAAGACAAAGTTTTATAGATATTTTCTGGAAAAAAGAGTTTATTAATAAAGCAACACAGGTTTTTCAGTCTAAGGAAAAATTAGCACTGTTGGCTATTTATTTTTTTACATTACTGATTGTATCTGTCTTGTGCAACTGATTATTTTATGGAATGAATTTTCTAAACTATTAAAAGTAAACAATGGCAAGACTGTTAAAGTTCACGTGCTTGTTGCCTCACTAGCCGAATAAGGGCAAAGAAAATGTGCTGATTGCTTCACTACCCAAATAAGGACAAAGACTGTTCTCTTCCAAAGAAAAATCTCATATGCAGTGCAGCAGAGCTACTTGCTTTTTAGGTATACATGCAAAGCCAAGGCTGACTGTTCAACCACCATACTTCAGCAGTAGTGAAGCCACAAGCATTCAGGCCTGTTTTGAAAGCATGAAGAGGTTATGTCTACTTATGTTTTTCATGCTATGTAAACTGCCTCAAGTTCTGTGAAGTAAATAGCACACAAAAATTTGTAAAAATAAATGTATAAATGTGGATTTAATGATCTGCTACTCATAAGCTTTGAAACATTTTCCCTATTTCTTGTAATGCATCAGACTTATTGCTAATTTGCCATGATTAAGACTTCTATGAGCAATAGTTTTGAGGATTAATAAGCTGTATTTTATTACTGCAATATTAAGTACCCCAAACCATACAGTGTAAATTATTAAACAGTATAGTTTAAATAATATCCTGATCATAATAGCGCTGGTATATTTTCATATACTATGTAAGGTAAATGATTTACAGATTTTCAAACATAATTTCTTCATTTTTCAAATTTAAATGAAAGAAATCATACCCTTGCTTTTCTAAGCAAAGCCTCCCAAAGTAGTCTACATTTATTTAATGTTAAACCCAGTAAACACCCCATGTATAAATTTCTCAGGAGAGCAAGAATGATAGCCTATAGTAAACTAAAACCTTATGCAACATCTCCAAATCAGAAATCCCTATTTGCGTCTCCATTTCTTCATTCTACAAAGTAATTTCTTTCATGTATATGCAAAACATCACATCTCAGTCAAAATTTTCTAGAACTTAGAATTCCAAAATTCTCCCAGTTCATACTTGCTTGGAAGTAAACTTCTGAGGCAGGAAGAAGTTTGTGGTATTCCAGCCCTGACAGAGCATGTGCAAGGAGAAAAATGGAACATTCCATATCCAGAGCATGATGTTTTGTACATCCTCAATTTCCTTTAACTCTTGAATAAATCTTTACTATTAATTTCTCATTGGTCTTGAGCTCTACACACATTAAACATTATCACAAATATAGCTTTAATTTTAAGTAACCTTAATGGATTCTTGCATTAAAATATAAGGAAAGTTTTTAAAAGTATACCTATATTCAGAAGTTACAGAACACATATTAACAAAAATGAGGATGTTGATAACATATACTTCTATTCTAGTTACAAAAAAAAGCAGGGTGAAAATAAGTACACAAAGTGATGACTACACAGACCATATTTCCTAGTGCTGTAATTTTAAAAAAAATTATTTCAGCTCACATCTTTATTTGCTATGTGTTTGCCTGTAATTTGCAAGGCTTAGCATTTATTTTCTTATTGAAGCAAGTCATACACTTACTTTAAGTACTTAAGATCGGTCTTCTGGAAGATAATGTCAAAGAGGCACACTGTAGAGCAGGCCCGCACAACATGCAGCCCGCCAAGCAGCCTTGTACGGTCCACTGATGTTTTTTTAAAAAGTAGTAAATTTAGAGCCACCATCACAAGTTTCAGCGCTTCTTCTGCTCTGCTAGCCATGGAAAAGCTGATTGGTACTTGTTTCTTTGTGGCCCACAAGGACTTTTAATTTATCAATGTGGCCCTTTCCCCTTGACAAGCTGTACAGCCCTGATGTGGAAACTACAACTTAAGAATCATTCAAATATTAATTCCTTGGAAAGGAATTATTTACATAGCTGCAAAGAAACTAAACAGATTGGCCTATTTTTCCCTACTTTGGGTACTGTAGTAATATTCAAATTTACCTACAGATCTATTAATACCTTTTTCTCCAACTAAAGCATGACATTATTATTGAGACAGCTGCACAGTAAAAGTGTCATTTATTTAGTTTGCAAACTTACCTCCTGCATACATAACTGCCAACATAATAGAGGAGATCCAGGAAACTTTGCTGCTTGATGCTTCAAAGATGATTTCGATCTCCTTAAAGAATACTGTAATGGATTTGGGGAATGCATATGAAAAACCAATAGAGATAAAGGCACCAACAACCACAGCCCAACCCCATCCTCCTTCAGGTGGAGTGTATCCTACTGGGCCTCCAATTGCTGGTGGCATCTTGACTGAAGTAATTCAACAGGTACTAAAAGATCTGTAAAGAAAACATGACAGTTAGTGTTTCCTTCAGCAAATATTTCAGTAAGCACTCAGAAAGAACAGCCTCTCTGAACATTGTTAAATTTTGTCTCTAGTGCCGTTAAGACTATATACGGAATCACCAAGTTTTAGGCAAGACTGGGATATAAAGTTAATATAAGACTTAGATATAAAGAGCAAGTAAGATTAACTCCTCCTCGGCTTATAAATTTCACCTCCCTCCTCTGTTGAGGCAGTTAAGGATATTAAGTGTTGTCCCAACTCTAAACTAATCTTAGGTTAATCTTAACTAGCTTGTGAAAACAAATTACTTTATAGTTTGAACTTGGTCTGTTTCCATCAACAGCATAGTCTAGGTTCAGAAAATAAACCCTGTTGAAATACTGTGTATCTTTAAAATGCCAAGGATAATTGAACAACTTAATCTGTACCCAATGCCAAATTTAAAAAGAAACTCTGTTATATTTCAGGCAGATTAATTTATACTGTAACCTTAATCATTTTTATGTTTCTTTTTCAGGCACCCATGATTCAAAGTTACATGTCAATTCAAATCACCCCTATCTCTTCAACTACCATTGGTATGCACATCAAACCACCCATTCCATAATACACAGTTTCTTCTGCAAAATATGTTGTAGATTACTCACTGGTCTGATTATATTTGACAAACAGAAAATCCTTAATGTTTCTGATTGTGAACATTAAGAAGCCTTTGTCTGGAGCATGCCAATGTTTCTGTAAGCATTGTCCCTTAGTCCCAGGGAAAAAGGAAGAATATGGGGAATAAACCAGACCCTGAAAATTTAAATTATTTTTTAATCATGCCTGTAAGTATCCATAGCCTTAATAAGTCAAACATCAAAAATAGAAGCAAACAGCATTAAACTTTTTCTCTCAAACACATCCCTTTTCTTGCTGATTCTTTGCTGCCTTTTCTTATTCTGTTGTTCCAACAGAAGAGAATATTTTCAGCTCAGGGTTGAATTGTGGAGTTCTCGGTGCTCTCTGAGAATGGCTGTTTGCTTGCAAGTGTTTCATCATCCATCTAGGTAACATCATCAGTGCAAGTGAGTATGGGGTTTGCTGCACATTTATTCTATTGTCTTCTACTTCTCCAGGCAATTACTTAATAGCTGCTCTAGAACCACCTTTTCTTTTGTTTCTTAAAATGTATTTTCAGCTAGTTCACCATTAGTCCCAAGAATCCCTGATGCCACCTGATTTTCTAAAACACCACAGAGATTTGATGGACATATATTGCCAACAGCTCCTTGGCTGTATTGCACACAATTCCTGTTGGGGTAAGAGGAACTATTTTACATTAGATTCCAGTTGTTCTGTACATTTATGGAATTGTACAGAGCTTTTTTTCCAAATGCATGAATAGTAGCAGACTGGTTTTTCAGAGCATATACTTAGTCAGTTGTCAGATTTTACTATGTTTAATGGCTATCATACTTAACTTCGAATTTACATAAATATGTTACAAGAAAAAGATCTCATTATCAGCTCAGAGGACACTGATTTTATATAAATAAATACATTTTGTACTCTGCTGAATTTTTCCCCCTAAACGTAAGGTTGATGAATGCTTAAAAGTGCCTGAACATGAGAGGACAGGCAGGAACATCATATGGTAATGTTCCAATACCATATCCTCCAAAGTTATTCTTGAAAGGGCACTGAAGGTCAGTAAATCTATCTAAGCTTAGCAGTGAATGCTAATAGTGGAAAGTTCTGATAAGTATCTACATGCCTTTCACATACTTCATGAGAAATTCAAATCCGTTTGCCTGGAATGCATCTCATGAAGCAGATGCCCCTCTGAAAAAACTGGCAATTTGGAGATGCACTGAGAGGATTCATTGATTTCTCACTACTAGCACTTTGTTATATAATATATACTTCAAATATAGTAATAAGTACTCATAGCTTGGGGGATAAAATCAATTTAAGGCAATGATCCCCAAATACTTAGTCAATTATGATAATATATAGTTGCTCTATCTTGCAATATAAGAGAAACACTGATTCCATAATAAACTTAGACAAAAATCCTATTTTTGAAAAGAAAAGAAAAAACAAAACAGAGTCAAATGTTAATGGAACTGGAAGCTAAAAAAGAAATCTATAGGCTCAAAATATATCCGCCATAACTGTTCTAACTTCAGACCAAAATTGTATTATCAACAAATGAAACTGTAAAATACAATCCAAAGTTCTCACTATAGTAATACATTGATAGCTACATTCCTTTCCAAAGCTTCAGCACTAAAACCACAAAGCAGAATTTTATAGTTCTGTGACAAGTGATGGATATTACTCATGTGTTGTGAGATTAAGGAGTTTTCATTGTGTCTTCTGT